ACCACTGGAAGTAAGCATGAAGGCACGTTTATAATCCTGAACAGGATAAAGATTTCAGAGACAAACACAAAATTCAGAGGCCATAAGGGAAGAATTCACTTGTAACTTTGTAATTTGGTGACACTGAATGTGGCGACGACGTGGTGATTTGACGCCATACATACAAACGTACAACCCAGTCAAACTTCATACGTAAAATGTGCAGCTGGTGCATGCCAGTCACACCACAATATCACAGTCCAGCTGTGAGGACTGCGGCTGGGGGTTTTGGCTATTATTTTTTGTTTTGACTTTAAAAAAAATTATTTATTTATTGTTCTTAGCTCTGGCATTCTAAGCAGCTACTTCATTTTACTCCGCCTGCGCATACCATAAAAATTGGGATGGTCTGTTCCTAGGCTGACTCTCTCATTTGATGGTGGACTCCTTTAGGGAAGGGGTGCAGCTGGTTCTTTTTTATCCTCAGTGACCAGCACAAAGCAGGAAGGCAGGCTGGGGAAGAGCACGCAGGCAGGAAAGGGATCAAGCAGAGGGACTGCAATTGCCCACCATACTGCTCAGTAGTTTTGGTTTCTGAGACATTTGTAGACAAGTGCTTGGGTGATTCCCTAACTTCAAGGGACCATGCCATAGTCAAGGTCAAGTGATATTGATTTCTAAGCCTGTGGTGTGGTCCTTTGCTGGGGTCTACTTTCATCCCTAGTGTGGTTTACTTGCTGGGACCGTTAATGGTGAAGTCAAACCTTTGAGGTTTGTTTCTTTGTTTTTGTTTTTAGTTCTTTTGTAGGGAGCTGCTCAAGACAGGGTTTCTCTGTGTAGCTCTGGCTGTCCTGGAACTCACTCTGTAGACCAGGCTGGCCTTGAACTCAGAGAACCACCTGCCTCTGCCTCCTGAGTGCTGGTATTAAAGGCATGCACCACGACCATCATCGTCACCACCACCACCACCACCACCACCACCACCACCACCACCACCACCACCACGCTGGCAAGGCTGTGAGTTTGAATCCCAGCTCATGTATTGAGCTATATGGATCAAGTCTTTCTGCTGTGGACCCCCAAATTCAAATGTTGCAGTCTTGTGCTGGGTGTAGTGGCATGCACCTATAATCCCAGAGCTCAGGAAGTGTAGGCAGGAGGCCTGAGTTTGAGCCATCTCAGACAACACAGTGAGCCATCAGAGAAGAAAAGAGAGCCAGAAAGAGTAAATCCTAACTTCCAAGGTGATGGTGTTAGGATGTGGACCGACCTTAGGGTGACCACTGGATAGACAAAGGCTGAAGCCCTCACTATGGGATGGATCCCCTTTACAAAGCAAGCCTGAGGCTGGGAGGGTGGTGCAGACTTGTAATACGAGCACTTGGGAGACACAGGTAGGAAAATTGCCACAAGCTTGAGGTCAACTTGGGCTACTTAGCTACACAGTAAATTTCAAGCTACCTTGGGTGTTATTCTAATACATAACAAGCCCTGATCTCAAAAATAAATAGGCCCAAGAGAGCTGCCCTGTCCCTTCCCGTAGTGTGATCACAGAACTAGTCTTTACCGAAGTGCTATTCTTTAGACACTGCCAGCACCTCGCTTGTGGTTTATAAGTCACAGTTTGTGCTGATGGACCTTCATGGTCAACTTGAGCAGACTGAAGATTACCTAAGGGATTAGTAAAGCACACCTCTGGGTGTGTCTGTTGAGGGCTTTATCTGAGACTGTTAGACCATGGTGGATCTGACCTAATGAATGAATAGATGGTTTGAATGACTCCCAATATGATGGAATTATTGGAAGGTGGTCAAAAGCTGACTGGAAGAAGCTCATCACTGGGGGCATACCCTCGTGGCCGTACCTTGCTCTGGCCCATTCATGTATCCCACTTTTGTTTGTTTCCTGGTCATCATGATGTGAATTGCTCTGCTCCACCGAAGTCTGTCACAATGAAATGACATCACTGAAATGCTGAGCCACCTCTCCAGCCCTGGTTCCTTCCCTGCTAAGTTGTTCTTTCTGAAAAGCTATGAGAAAAATGACACATACACAATCTAAGGCATTTTGTTGCATTAGCCTAAGTAGATTCTGAGCTGCCCATTAATAAAATTAGAGTTTAGCCTGTCTTTAATCCCAGCATTCAGGAAGCAAAGGCAGGCAGATCTCTCTGAGTTTGAAGCCAACCTGGTCCCAGGACAGCCAGGGCTATGTAGAGAAATGCCATCTCAAAAACAAACAAACAAATAAATAAACAAGCTGAGCAGTGGTGGCGCACGCCTTTAGTCCCAGCATTCAGGAGGCAGAGCCAGGCGGATCTCTGTGAGTTCGAGGCCAGCCTGGTCTACAGAGCGAGATCCAGGACAGGCATCAAAACTACACAAAGAATCCCTGTTTCAAAAAACCAAAAATAAATAAATAAACAAACAAACAAACAAATGAAATTAGGGCTTTAAACATCATGCTCACATTGTCAGCAGGGGTAGAAACAGGTTTTTATGTAGCTTGAAGCTTCGAAAGCTTGAAAGATGAAGATGATGTGAATCTCAGTTGGTAGCATGCTTGCCCAGCATGCCTGAAATTCTAGTTCAATCCCAATACCACATACCACAGAAAACAGATGCAGAGGCATAATGCCTCTAATCCCAGCACACAGGAGGTGGAGGCAGTGTAACAGGGCAAAGTTCTCCATCTTATCTTAGCTGAAGCCATCTTTGGTTCCTGTCCCCTGTCCTGAAAAGTCCCTTGGGAAAGCACCTAACCCTGTTCTAGAAATTGGCAGTTGAAATGCCCCAGCTAACTGCATATTCTTGGCTCTCGTTAAATTGCTTGCTTGCTTCCCCCTGCAGCTGCCAACCAGAATGCAGTTTTTCTGTGTTTTTTGTCTTTAAAAATTCCTTGTAATATGCATTCAGGGCTGTTCTAGGAGAAGTGTTTCTCTCCAGGCAGGGGCCGCTGGCTGAGTGCAGACTCTCAATTCGAGCTTTGGTTGTGCTGAATGGTCTTTGGGTCTCTCCCCTACAACAGCAGGAGGGTCATAAGTTCTAGGTCATACTTTGGAGATGGTCTAGTGGGGAAAAGCATTTGCTGTGCTGAGGACCTGAGTTCAAATCTCCAGAACCCACATAGAAGCTGACGGATGTGTGTGTGTGTGTGTGTGTGTGTGTGTGTGTGTGTGTGTGTGTGTGTAACCTTAGGGCTCCTACAGTAAAATAGGAGGTGCAGTCAGGAGAACCCCAGGAGCTCAAAGACCAGCTAGTCTGGTGTGCTCAGTGGTAAAAACAAGAGACCCTGTTTCAAAGAAAATAGAGAGACAGCTCCAAGGTTAAGAGCACTAGCTTCTCTTCCAGAGGTTCTGGGTTCAATTACCAGTACCTACACGTTGGTTCACAACACAGGCACACAGGCACATACCTACATTAGCAAGTTCTCTCTCTCTCTCTCTCTCTCTCTCTCTCTCTCTCTCTCTCTCTCTCTCCAGGGCTGGAGAAGGCTGAAGACTCATGGAGTAAAACCGCTTGACACAAAAGACTTATGATCCGAGTTTGAATCCTGGAACTCACCAAGTTGACCTCTGACCTCCACATGTGAGCTCCCACATACACATCATGCATACAGTGATAAGAGAATTAAAAAGTGGAAAGAGAAGACACCCAAGGTTGTCCTCTGATCTCTACATGCACCCACATTCATACGCCCCATAGGCTCATATATGGAGCTGTTTGGGAAGAATAACATGTAGCCTTGTTGGAGGAGGGTTGGGTTTTTGAGGTTTCAAAAACACAAGCCAGTTAGCAGCGCCCTCCTCTCTCTCTCTCTCTCTCTCTCTCTCTCTCTCTCTCTCTCTCTCTCTCTCTCTCTGTCATCTTGTGTCTCAAGATACAAGCTCTCAGCTACTGCTCGAGGGCTATGCCTGCTGCCATGCTTCTTGACATGATGGTTGTGGACTCACCCTCTGAAACTATAATCCCCAAATTAAATGCCTTTTTCTATTAGTTGCCTTGGTCATGGTGTCTTATCATGGCAATAGGAAAGTAACTAAGACATGGATGTATGCACACATGCACACACATGTGTTCTGGGTCATTCTTAGCTACACAGTGAGTTTGAAGAAAACCTGGGCTACATGAGCCCCCTCCCCACAAAAAAAGCCTAAAGTCTTCAAATCATGTATCCTGTCCTTTGTGCTAAATTCCACCAGTTGTTGAAGGCCACACCTACATTGAGAATCAGGAACCAACAATCATGAGGATGATGATGTTGTGACAACAATGGAGAGTTCCCGGATCAGTGTGTGTCCCTATTGGATTTGTGGTCCTTGGTGTGGGCTCAAAGCCACTTCCTTGTCCTGGCCTGAGAAAGGAAGCCTGCCCTTCTTTTAAACATTTACTCTTCATTCACTGGCTCTTGTTTCCCGAGTTTAGGGCTAAGTTCTGCACGCCCAGCCTCCCTTGAATGAGCCCCTTTGCTGTCAGAGCTAGGTGTGGTTTGCAGGAAGTACTCTTACTCTGTCTAGAAGAACCAAGGCAAGGCAGAATCACCCTTGAAGCGTTTTCTCTTCTAAGCTCCTGGCAAGCCTGAGTTCCAGGCACCCCATGACCTGCCCCCACCTGCCTCCCAGACACTGACCTAGCCAGGCTCTAACTCTGCCACTGGTTGGACTTGGCTTGCTGCCCAGATCTCCCCAGCTCCCTCCCCCCTCTTCTTTGTCTCCTTCTAGGTTACACTTGGGGTTCTCTGCTCCGGACCCAGAATTTTACCATTTCCTGTTTCCCCTAGTTGTATTTTATAAGGGACAACTATGTCTAGGTATTATTGCTGATAGGAGACAGAGCTAAGCAAAGTTGGATCTTCCCCTCTTACCACTGCACGCCCAGAGCAAATCCATCTCTCTCCTTTCTTCTCCCAGAGCAAATCCATCTCTCTCCTTTCTTCACCCTTCTTAAGATGGAACCTCGGACAAGTCCTGTTACTTCTTGGGTTACTTTTCAAACGTGGTAGGCTATAAACTATGATCTGGATCATGCAACTTATTTATGATGTTTATTTCCATAATTAGGATTTTTCACTTCAGGACAAATCAAAGTCTCATTAAAAATTCATCATCCTCAGGCATGGGGTGTGTGCCTGGGCTCCTCCCAAGAAGGTCAGGCAAAGAGTCTAAGAGGAAACCACAAGAGGCATCCTCTCTGATTCCTTCTCGACCATGCACACCACCATCCAAGCCTTTGATGGACCATGAGAAGAGGACACAGGGGTGAACAGAGGTCAGAGTGAGCAAATGTGAGGCAGGTGAAAGACCCTAAGCCTTCAGCCTTACACCCCCAAGCCCCAGGAAATAAGGAACTAAAAAGAAAACTAGTTCCAAGGGCCACCTGACTCAGTCACTACTCAATCACCCCTGTAACAATGTAACAATGTAAAAAGATTTCTGTTAAGAAATGTGCTCAACTGTGACTGGGATAGTTGCAAGTGTTCCAGGAAGGACCACTGTGACCCTTGTGTAAACTCCACTCCCGCCCTGGTACCCTCCTTGAGGTTTCAGGAAGAATGTACATGCGGACGTGACTGTACCCACTCTGTGATCAGACCATGATCTTGTGAAACGAAATTGTATGGGAATTGCAATCTTAGGGCTTTTGTGGGTTTTTCCTTTAAAAGCCCCCATGGGGCTGCAGTAAGATGCGGCTCTTGCTCTTAGGAGCAGAGTTTGCCCTTCTGTACAGAAGCTTCAATAAAATCCTCGTGCTGTTGCATCAACTGGACTGGAGTCTGGGTTCTTGGGGCGCCCACTTGAGACCCTAAACTTTGGGGTCCAACAGCAGGTGCACACATTTTAGGAGCCGGCCTACAGCAGTACCCTTCCACTCCCGACCGGGCCTGGGACACCATTCTCTGCTATTGCATGGTGTTACCAAAGAGAAGAGAAAGGAAAAAGGGAAAGTCTGAGTCTGGCTGCCCCTGTGACCAGAGGAAGTGGGCAGGGGTTTCATTCTCCATAAGAGAGTGCTTGATGGGAACCCAGATCCTAGAGGACTCAAAGGAAAACCATAATCTGGGGAGAAAAAAAAAATATGGAAATCGGACTCAATCCTTTCCTAGTACAGGGCAAGACCACCCACCCTCCCAGCTTCTGGTAGTGGACTTCCTTCTGGGTTTCCAAACCCTTTCTTTATCATACTCTGCTAGGCCCTAACGTCAGAGCTGGGACTCTCCACTAATTTTTTTTTTTTTTTTAAGATTTATTTTATTTATTACGTATACGGTGTTCTGTCTGCTTCCAGGCCAGAAGAGGGCACCAAATTTCTTTATAGTTGGTTGTGAGCCACCATGTGGAGCTGGGAATTGAACTCAGGACCTCTGGAAGAACAGTCAATGCTCTTAACCTCTGAGCCATCTCTCCAGCCCCATCCACTAAAACTCTTAAGATTCTGACTGCGCATCAGTGGAAGAAGCCCACTTGAAACTGTCCATGCCTCTCGGCAGCAGGAGGTCCAGAGAGAGGTCCCGCTGCTCAAGCTCCGAGTACACAGGTCGGTAACCCAGCAGCTGCAGTGCTCCCGCACACAGTTCCTGGACCCGCCGAATCTTGGCAAAGGGCAGCGCGTGACGCCAGGCTTGGGACACAACGAGCGCATCCCTGGATGAGGTCTTGAAGGCCTCACGGCGTGCGCCTGGCCCTGAGCCGTGTGTGATGTTGTGGATCCAAGTCTGGAGCTGCGGCGTGAGGTCCAGGCCGGTAAAGGCGTACAGCTCACGGATCTCGGTGAGCGGGTCGCGGGCCAGATCCTCGTAGCGCACCAGGCGGTAGCGATCTTGCAGGAAGGGCGGTGGCTTGTGCAAGGCGGCCTCTGCGATGCGCACGTGACTGCGGCACACCTCACTGACCACGCGCAGCCCGGGGTCCGCCTCTACCCACGTGCCGTTAGTACCCAAGACGATGCCGCTGTCCCGCGCCAGCGCCTTGGCAGTCTGCTCTCGGGAGCGCAGCACCGCCCGCGGGTCGCGCACCAGGTGCACGATGCGTAGGTTGAGCGCGGGGTCACTGAGCAGCGGGTAGAGAACCTGCAGGTTAAAGAAGCGCACCTCCTTGAGCACTATGTGGCTGTAAGAGCTGCAGGCTTCCTGGGCCAGGCCGAAGGGCCGCGTTGCGCACAGAGACTTGCACACCTCCTCGCTGCTGATGTGGCCGCGAGCAAAGGCGTTGCAGACCGGAGGCGAGCACAACGCGCGGCTCACGGCCCACTGGAAGAGATCTGAGATGTTGCGGCGCCAGGGCAGGTAGGCATCAAACACGTCCATGTCGCATAGGAACACTGAACGGACCAGATCGCGCACGGCCATGTGGAGCGCGGGGGCACTGCCCTGCGACAGGGCATCCCACACGTGCCAAGCCGGCTCCATCAGGTAGAAGACATCTGGGTGCTGGCTGAAGAGCTGGCCCACAAAAGAGGAGCCCGAGCGCCACGAGGACAGCACCAGCACGTGCACATGCTCCCTACTGCCCGCTGGGGACCGTGGCGTTTGCCGCGAGACCAGGAAGACCAGGATGCAGGTCTGTGCTATCAAGAGTGAAAACACTAAAGCGCTGGAGAAGCGGGGCAGCCGCATGCCTCTGGTTAGGGCCTATGAAAAGGGAGGGACAGAGTTAGGGACTGTGGCCTGAGCTCACACCCCAGGCCCAACTTCAGCACCACACGGGTTGCACACTCTCTATGCAGCTGTAGGGGGACCCTAAACGTCTGCTCCTTCTGTCTTCATCTAAATGCTGGCATTACCGGTATGTGTTACCATACCTGGTTTAGCAAATACGATTTTTCAAACAGAACTCCTGCCTTTTGCTTAAGAATTCCTCTTATGGAAAATATTTTACTGTTTAAAATAACCCTGGACTTTTAAATTATAACCTATTTTTATGTTCAGGCTATCTGTGTATTGTTTCTCCTGCAGTTGTGCATAAAATGTTTTTACATTAAAAAAGGACAAATACTATAGAATTGTATTACCTGAAATATATAGAATATACAAATTCATAGAGACAGAAAGATTAGACGTTATCTCAAGATGGAGAAGAAAGGAACATAGAGCAATGATTTCCCAAGTACAGAATCTCTGTTTTGTATGATGGAAAAACCCCACAGACAGACAGTAGTATCAGGGCATAATAACATGAATGTAATAAATCAATACAATTAATGCTATTAAAGAATATCATAAATATAATTATTGAATGAATACTGTGAATGTAATCAATGAATGCCACAAATGTAATTAATATCATGAGTGTAATTAATGAATAACATGAGTGTAATTAAAAAATAAATAAATTAAAATATTTTTAAAAATCCCTCGTTACTTCTAGGTGTTTGGCCATATCTGCCAGGCTTTTCAGGTTGGATCCTGCCTCTTCCTGCTCTATGATCTTAGCACAAGTCAATCTCTCTGTGACTCTATTTACCCATCTGTTAAGCGGGGGATCATACAGGCGTCTGCCTTCCAGGATTTGTGGGGGATGACTGAAAAACACATAGGGGAAGGAGAGTGTCATGACTGAAGACTAGAACCACATCGTGCTTCCATGTTGTATGATTTTTTTTATTAACAAGTAGCACAATTTTTGTTATTAAAAATAAACAGTGTTGTAGAATATTATTTTAAGATGTGTTACATTTGTTTATGCTGTGGAACATTTGTTTAATGATGCAAAGATGTATTGCATTTTTTTATGTTGCATTTGTTTAAGTCTGTGAAGCTGCGTTACTGTGCCTGTCTAAAACATCTGATTGGTTTAATAAAGAGCTGAATGGCTAATAGCAAGGCAGGAGAAATGATAGGTGGGGCTGGTAGGCAGAGAATAAATAGGAGAAATCTGGGAAGAGAAGATCTAGGAGTAAAAGAAGGAGGAGGACACCAGGGGGCAGCCACCCAGCTACACAGCAAGCCATGGAGTAAGAAGTCAAGAAAGGCATATAGAAATAGAAAAAGGTAAAAGCCCAGAGGCATAAGATAGATGGAATGATTTGAGAAAAGTTGGCTGGAAATAAGCCAAGCTAAGGCCTGGCATTCATTAGTAAGAATAAGCCTCCGTGTGATTTATTTGGGAGGTGGGTGGCCAGCGCCCCCAAAGATCAAAGAAATAAACAAGGACAAACAGGGCATGGTAAGATGACTCAGCAGGTAAGGCACTTGCTGCCAAGCCTGATGAGCTGAGTTTAAATGCCTGAAATGCACATGTAAAAGGACAGAGCTGATTCCCCATTGTCCTTGTCCTTTGACCTACACACACACACACACACACACACACAGAGAGAGAGAGACAGAGACAGAGAGACAGAGACAGAGAAACAGAGACAGAGAGACAGACAGAGACAGAGAGAGACAGAGAGACAGAGACAGAGAGACACAGAGAGAGAGACAGAAAGAGAATAAACAATATCATTGCTCTCACCCCTGGAGAGAAAGTGCTGGAGCTGGTATGGACTCCAGAACAAGGGCCTTCTCTGGAAGCCATGAGTTTCAGAGGAGCCCAGTGAAGTGGGAGGCAGAATGGAGGTAGAGAAGCAGAGAGGCAGAGCAGAGACGTACCCATGCAGGCTGCTGGCCCTTCCCCAGCTGAGAGTACTCACTGCTGTCCAGAGCTGGGAGAGTTGCTTGTGTTGATCACAAATCCATGGGAAGTACCTGGAGGTTCCTCAGCCTGGGAACACAGGAGGAAGACTGGTCAGAGCCCCTGGAGGGAGACAGCCCCACTCACAGAAAGCTCTCCTGGAGGGGGCAGAGTAGCCCTGCCGCTGGCAGCTTTCCAAATAAATGTGAACTGATGGACTTTCCAGGTGCAAGGAGGAGCGAGGGCTGGCTCTGAGTCCCCAAACTGCCATGCAGGAACTTTAAAGCCTGGAACAAGTGATTTGATCTCTCTAAGCTTTAATATCTTCTGTAAATGGAGATTGCAACACTTAAATCTTTGGCCTCAAATTTACTATGTGTCGGGGATGACCTTGAACATGACCTTTTGATCCTCCTTCCAAATGTGATTACAGGTATGCATCACCACGTCTGGTGTCTGAGGTAACGGGGATCAAACCCAAGGCTTCATGCATACTAAACAAGCACTTTATCCACCCCATCCCCATGGCCTCCAACTCTCTACCACCTTGCCTCAGCCTCCCAAGTGCTAGGACTACAGGCACCTGTCACCATGTCCAGCTGTGACATTTAACTTCTTAGGGTTGTTGTGGGATGATGTTGTAAACACCTGTGAGGAGAGAGCTTGGCGTGGGAGGCCTCGGTCTAGATGAGCCATCCTGAGATCACTTACATATCTTCTAGAATAGATTTACCTCTAAGAGGCCCTGCTCCCTTTAACAGGTCACATTTGTCCAGTAGGTAGGAGCAACACTAGGCCCAACTTCCACACCCCAAGGTTCTAGAGTTTCCTGTCTGTGTACCTTTTGCTTCTGCAAATGATCCCAGGCTTCCTTTCTTTGAAAGGGAGAGACTCCCTGCTTATGTAGCATTTTTCTCCTCCCTCACCTGCGTCCTTAGAAATATCACCACTGAGAAAAGCTGAGGTCTAAATTGTGAATGGTCCCTTCTCGGTGCTTTCCTCTCGTCGGGGCTTGGGAGTCGGTAGAAAACGCTTAAAAGCCGTCTTCCCTGCTGACTCTGGAGATCTTCCTGGATCACACACCCAGCCCTGGAAAACCCAGAAGACGAGGAGTAACTGTCTATCTGCTCTGCACGAGTCACCACATTTACCAACAAGCACTAGTTGCTTTATGTTGACCCGGTGATTTAACTTAGCTGCCCCTGCAGTGGGCTTAAAGATCTGTCATTTAGTTGGAGAGTTCACGGCTTAGAGTGTGGGGAGCAAGGACCCTAACTCAGAACTCCAGTTTGTTAGTTCCTGGTACTTCTGATGGCAACCCGAAGGTCTCTCCCATCTCTGACTGTTCTCCCAAACCTAAGGCAGCTGCCTAGCCAGGAGGGACTTCATCCTGATTCGAGCCAAGGTGTCTGTCACCCGAGTTCTAGGAAAGCCAGAGCTCTTCTTAAGTGACTCATGTACTAGAGGGAGCGCTCTCTGACCCTGTTACTGGAACTCAAGAACTAGGAAGAGCCAGGCGGTGGTGGCGCACGCCTTTAATCCCAGCACTCGGGAGGCAGAGCCAGGCGGATCTCTGTGAGTTCGAGGCCAGCCTAGGCTACCAAGTGAGTTCCAGGGAGGCGCAAAGCTACACAGAGAAACCCTGTCTCGAAAAACCAAAAAAAAAAAAAAAAGAACTAGGAAGAACTTCAGAGAGCCACACAGGAAGTCTAGGAGTTCAAGTTCTGCCTGAGATGATCTCATAGAAATGCCAGTGTTCCCACACAGGTTAATTACCAGAGGGTTGGAAGCAGTGATATGTATTTTTAATCTTCATGGTCAAGTTTTACTTTCTCAACATTCCTAGAAGGTTGAGCTAATTTTCCCTATCTGTTTTCATTGAGGCAACTAGAATTCAGACACAGGAATACCCAGTCAGCAAAGGAGTGTAGCTTAGTGTTAGCCTGGTGGTGATAGTGGGTGGTGGAATGTGTGGGTTCAATCCCCAGGAGCTCCTCCTACACTGGAAAATAAAAGCAAAGCCTGGGACTGGGGAAATGGTTCAGTGAGTAAAGCCCTTGCTGAGCAAGCATGGAGACCTAAGTTCATATCCCCAGCACTGACATAAAGGCAGGTGCACGTTCTGTAAGCCCAGCAACGTGGGCAGACACAGCAAACAGATCCCTGGGCCTTGCTGGCCAGTCACTCTAGCCAAATGGAAGCTCCAGGCTCTCAAAAACTAAGGTGGGGCCCTGGTTTGATCCTCTGCCCCTATAAACCAAGTCAGGTGGCAAACGCCTGCAACCCCAGTCCTGGAGTGACACAAGCAAAAAGAGTGTGAATTCAAGGTCATCTCCTCCTACAGAGAGTTTGAGGCCAGCCTGGTAGGCATTGGACCCTGTATCAAACAACCAAGCAACACCGGGCCATCAGGCAGCTCAGAGGACAACCAGCAAGTCTGTTCTGGTCTTTCGCCTTTAGGGTTCCAGGGATTCACCTGAGGTTCTTGGGCTCCATGGCATGTGTACCAGCTGAGAGGCACCTCAGTCGCCCACTTTCTTTCTTTCCTTTTTTTTTTTTTTCCCTCAAGACATTTGAGATAGGATTTTTCTGTGTAGACTTGGCTGTCCTGCAACTCACTTTGTAGCCCAGGCTGGCCTCAAACTCAGAGATCCGCCTGCCTCTGCCTCCTGAGTGCTGGGATTAGAGGCATGCGCCACCACCTCCCAGCAGTAGCCCATTTTCTTATTTCTTAAAAAAAACAAAAAACTTCAACTGTCACTGTTACAATTTATGAGTTTCTTTAGTGGCTTACTATACTGTAATACATACTTTTACATTCTACACATACATACTTTTCTTAGATGCCTCCTATTATAACTTTTGATTAAATTGATATTAAAAGTGTGCAAGATATGATTTAAAAATGCAGTTGACAGCTAAAATGCACAATGTACTTAAGAGGACATCTTCCTTTAATGAAAAGTTTATTATTTTTGATAGTAAAACTAATAAATGCTGCATCTATTAACAGAATGAGTGACCACACCTGGCTCTCACATGGCCTTTCCACTTTTTCCTGACATGATACTCACAGTCTTATTCAATTGTTTTATTGAAATATAGCACCTCAGAAAAGAGCAAAGAACACATGCCTGTAGTCTTAGCACTTGGTGGGATGAGGCAGAAGGATTGTTTGAGGCCATCCTGGGCTACCTGAGACCCTGTCTCAAAAAAGCAAACAGTTCAAAACCCAAATAAAAACTATAACAAAACTGTTTTCCTTGTGATTAGGCCCCCCAGCTATTAAAATTGTAATCAGGGGAGCTAAAGATAAAATAGAAGGAATGTGGAAAGCAGAACAAAAAGAGATAACATGGAAACAGATGAAAGAGAACAAGAGCTTCAGTGTCTAATGCAGAAGAGCCTCTGTCCCAGTGCAGTGGACAGTCTAGTGAGGGACATTAAGACTCACCCATGGGGTCTGGAGAAATGGTTCAGAGGTTAAGAGCACTTGCTGCTCTCGCAAAGGACCCCGTTTGGTTTCCAGCACTTACATTCACAGCTTACAACCATCCATAACTCTAGCTCCAGGGGATCTGGCTCCCTCTTCTGGTCTCCATGGGTACCAGACAGGCACACAATGCACATACATACATTCAGGAAAAACACCCACACACATAAAATAAAAATAAAGCAATCTAAAAAGGGAAAGGGACAACTCATCTATGGATGGTCCAAAGACCAGAGAGATGGTGGTCCCAGGGACTGGCCCAGACACTCAACTTTTCTCCTGGATTCTGGTCTAATCCATCCCTCTCCTTCTTCCAATCCATCCTGCACAGTGCCTGCAGGACTATCTAAATCTGATAGTGCCCATCTACTCGGCTTTCCAAAGGCACTGCTAATTCCCATTCAGACTCCTCTACGTCAGAGTTCATCAAAAGAGCATCCAGGACCCATATCCCCAAACCCTCCCTCTGCTGTGTAGCGCCTACCCCCATCTCCACCTGGAATAATCTCAGCCTCCTCTGATGTGACTACTGCCAGTGTCTCTCAAGGCATTCTACTCTGCCTGATGCCATACTCCATTTCTCCTTCTTGCAGGCAGGCAGCACTGGAGTTGGGATTGTGGTTTGGGAATTTTTTTTTTTTTTGAAGTGTCTGTCAGTTCTCAGGGATCTGGTGTGGGGTTTGGCACTTCACAAGCATAAGTGTATCTACTAGGCATGTGTTCTTTGCAAGACAGCCTGTAAGCTGGGCATGGTGCACATGCCTGTAATCCCAGTATTTGAGAAGTGGAGGCAGGAGGATCAGGAGTTCAAGGATAGCCTGAGCTAAATGAAACCCTGTCCAAAAACAAACAAACAAAAAACAAAAAACCCAACAACAACAAAAACCAGTCGTGGTGGTTTGACTAGAAATAGCTCCCATAACTCATGTATTGAGTTATGCCATAGGGACTGGCATTATTAGGAGGTGTGGCCTTGTTGGAGGTGGGTGTGTCACTGTGGAGGGGGGCTTTGAGGACTAATATATGCTCAAGCTACACCCAGTGTGGGACACAGTCTCCTTCTGCTGCCTGCTGATCAAGACATAGAACTCCCAGCTCCTTCTCCAGCACCATGTCTGCCTGTATGCTGCCATGTCCCACCATGATGATAATGGACTAAACTTCTGAAACTATAAGCCAGCCCCAATTAAATGTTTTCCTCTATAAGAGTTGCCATGAGGGCTGGAGAGATGGCTCAGAGGTTAAGAGCACTGACTGCTCTTCCAGAGGTCCTGAGTTCAATTCCCAGCAACCACATGGTGGCTCTCAACCACTTGTAATGAGATCTGGTGCCCTCTTCTGGCCTGAAGGGATACATGCAGGCAGAATACTGTATACATAATAAATAAATAAATCTTTAAAAAAAAAAAAAAAAAAAAAAAAAAAGAGTTGCCATGATCATGGTGTCTTCACAGCAATCAGCAATAAAACCCTAACTAAGACACCAAACAATGTTAGATTTTCCATAAGGAACCACTGCTCATCCATTAATGAGCCCATGGTTTTTTGTTTTTTTTTTTTTTTTTTTTAGTTTTTCGAGACAGGGTTTCTCTGTGTAGCTTTGCGCCTTTTCTGGGACTCACTTGGTAGCCCAGGCTGGCCTCGAACTCACAGAGATCCGCCTGGCTCTGCCTCCCGAGTGCTGGGATTAAAGGCGTGCGCCACCACCGCCCGGCGAGCCCATGGTTTTGTAACAGGGCCTTAGACCTTAGCAAAACTGACTCCATAGTGGAAGTACCATTCAAGCTGTAAAACTCAGCATGTAGATAGCATCACTTGCCAAAACTAAAACAAAAGCCTAATCCATGAACGTCCATAGTTAGGGGAAAGTCTCTAAATGGACTAACCTTACTTTTTTTTTTTTTTTAAAGATTTATTTACTTATAATGTATACAGTGTTCTATCTGCACATATCCCTGCAGGCCAGAAGAGGGCACCAGATCTCATTACAGATGGTTGTGAGCCACCATGTGGTTGCTGGGAATTGAACTCAGGACCTCTGGAAGAGCAGTCAGTGCTCTTAACCTCTGAGCCATCTCTCCAGCCCCTTAACCTTACTTTTTGGCTTCTGTAGTTCTGTTTCGGCTAACTGTTCTTATTAACTGAAGTATGTTAACCCAGGACATGTTTTTTGTGCTTAAAAGCTCACCCTGAGAAAGGCTCAGTGCTACCTTGCGACCCTGAACAGCCAGTGTAGTCGCCTGCCAGCTAATAAAGACTTTCTATTGGCTTAAACCCATGTCTTAAACTCACAACAGTTTGGAAGCAGATGGCGGGCTTTTAGGTCTCTTTTGCTCAAGCATCCCTCAGTGTGACTGTCAGTTGACTTCCTGTAGCCTTCTGGGCAAGATGTAGCCAGCACCACCTCTGCCTGCACACTGCCTGCTCCCTGTCACGATGATAATGAACTGAACCTCTGAAACTGTAAGTGAGCCTTCATTTACATGTTTTCCTTATAAGAGTTGCCATGGTCACCAGGTGGTGGTGGTGCACACCTTTAATCCCATCACTTGGGAGGAGGAAACAGGAAATGAGATGGCTGGGTGGAGAGAGGAAGTGATAAGGTAGGGTGGAGACAGGAGCTCGACCCTTTCAGTCTGAGGATTCCTATAAGAAGTCTTTCTAGTGGCTGGCTGCTCTGCTTCTCTGATCTTTCAGCTTTCACCCTGATATCTGACTCTGGGTTTTTATTATTAAGACCAGTTAGAATTCATGCTACACCTAGCAAAGACATGTTCCAAGACTGGTTTATCTACATACTTACCCCTTCCAATTCCTGGCCTCACCTAGAAGTAGCTTAAGAATAGAACATCTGGGCTATAGAGATGGCTTGTTGCTCTTGCAGAGGACCTAGATTCAATCCCCAGCATCCACAAGGAGGCTCACAACTATTCATAACTACAATTCAAGGGGCTCTGACCCCCTTCTCCTGACCTCCGCCGCCGCCGCCGGCACCAGGCACACATGTGGTGCACAGACATACATGTAGGCAAAACATTCACACACATAAAATGAAGTAAATCTAAAAAAGAAAAAGAAAAAAAAAAGAACAGAACACCTGCCAATCCCCAAGGGAGAGAGAAACTGCCAACATAGAAGAACACTGAACAGAGAAATAATGAAGTTCCCAAGCAAGCTGACGGCATCATCTAAACATCTGGATCCAGGTGTACAGATTCTTCACTGGAGAAAGCATTCCACTTCTGCTCAAACAAGTGCAAATTGAGTTTCTGTGGCAACCAGGAGTTCTGGTTTTAATAGTGGATTCTGGTGGGTGCACAGAGCATCTGGATTCTGGTCATGCTATTTCTCCATGTGGGAGCTAAATATATTAATGTATCAATGACAATTCATCAGTCCAAGGTGGTGGTGCACACCTGTAATCCCAGTACTTGGGAGGTAAAGGCAGGAAGGTCAGTTTAGAGCCAGCCTGGGTTCCACAGGGAGTTCCAGGCCTGCATGTGCTAAATGAGACCCTGTCTCAAACAAAACAAAACACCATCAGGCCAGCTTGGTAGTACATGCCTGCAATCCCGGTATTGGGGAAGCAAAGGCAGGAGGGTCACTAGAAGTTTGGAAACCATTTTGCAAAGTTGAAAGTTTATCTCGAGGGGTGGGGGGGGGGTGGGGGAGGCGGCGAATGCATGTCTATCAGGATACTTTTTATTGTTGTTTTTGTTTTGTTTGAGACAGGGTTTCTCTGTGTAGTTTTGGTGCCTGTCCTGGAATTAGCTCTGTAGACCTGGCTGGCCTCGAATTCAGAGATCCACCTGCCTCTGCCTCCCGAGTGCTGGGATTAAAGGTGTGTGCCACCACTGGTCCAAAGGATAGTTTTATGCTCTGTGTTCTTTGCTCTTTTCTGAGATGCTGTATTTCAATAAAACAATTGAATAAGACTGTGAGTTTCACGTCAGGAAAAAGTGGGAAGTATGTGAGGGCCAGGTGTGGTCACTCAGTCCTGTAATCTTAGCACTCTAGAGGCTGAGGTAAGAGTACTGCTGCAAATTTGAAGCCAGCCTGGCTAAATGATGAGTTCCAGGGCAGCCTGGACTGTAGTACATGACATAAATAAATGTTTAATGAATTGAAATCAGACACCCCGCCATCCAAGTCTAAAAGGAATCATTGATTAGGCTTTTGCCCGCATTTCTTTCTGTGATGTTCCTTAAAACACCCCTTACCATTTCATGGCCTGAGAGATACTGGGAGGGCTGTTTTCTGCTTGGTTTGGAGATGGTAAAGCTGAGATACAGGGCAAGGGATGCCTTCCATCACAGGCACTGAGCTGGAGCCCAGAAATTTCCAGCCAAGCTATACTAGAGGGCTCCTCTTGTCATCAGCCTGTCCCAGCCCTGGCATGGAATCTAAGAGAGTGAAACATGACACTGGCTGGCTCAGATTTCTCTCCTTTGGTGTCAGCTGGAGGCCATCCCTGCTCAGGAATCCCATCAGATTCCAGGTGAGGAAATCTAGGCACATCGGACTCTAGGTGAGGAAATCGGTAAATGTCACGCCTCAAGGATGACCAGTGAAGTAAAACTACTGTGATGGAGCATGTTCCTTAGGGAGAAGGATGTGTAAGAGAGGGAATGATGCCAGGCGGTGGTGGCACATGCCTTTAATCCCAGCACTCGGGAGGCAAGAGGCAGGCAGATTTCTGTGAGTTCAAGGCCAGCCTGGTCTACAGAGCGAGATCCAGAAAGGGTGCAAAGCTACACAGAGAAACCCTGTCTCGAAAACAAAACAAAACAAAACAAAAAACAGAGAGAGAGAGAGAGAGAGAGAGAGAGAGAGAGAGAGAGAGAGAGAGATGTTTAAAATGCATAAATATGAAAGGGCAGCAACAGACAGGAGAAGACTGCTACAAATAGCATCTAGAAAGCGACTTACACCTAGGGTTTTAAAGAGTTCTTGTGAGTGGGTAAAGGATTTAAGAAGACATGTGCTCAATGTGCTTGCTTAGGCAGGATATATACTAAAATTGGAACGATACACAGAGAAGATTAGCATGACCCCTACACAAGGATGATACACAAATTTGTGAAGCGTTCCATATTAAAAAAAAAAAAAAAGACATTTTTTTTCCAGAGAAGATACACAAATGACTGACAAGTACATTCTTTTGGTTTTTCGAGACAGGGTTTCTCTGAGTAGCTTTGCGCCTTTCCTGGAACTCACTTGGTAGCCCAGGCTGGCCTCGAACTCACAGAGATCCTCCTGCCTCTGCCTCCCGAGTGCTGGGATTAAAGGCATGCGCCGCCGCCGCCGCCGCCGCCGCCGCCGCCGCCGCCGCCGCCGCCGCCGCCACCACCACCGCCCGGCCTGACAAGTACATTCTTAATCACTAGGCAAATCATCCAGCAGGGCAGCTGCTGAGGAAAAAGAGCAGTGTTGGTGGGGGAGGGGTAGGAGGATGGCTCATGGGTAAAGGGCACTGGCTGCCAAGCCTGATGACCTGAGTTTGATCCCTGGGATCATATAATGGAAGAAGAGAACCAATACTAACTGTAATAATACAAACTTCTAATAGTTGTGCTCTGACTTCCATGGTGCACATGTCTGGCCATAAATGTTTGTTTTTTGAAGGGGGCGTGCTGGGCATGGTGGTGTTCTATGAGTTGGAGGCCAACCTGGTTTACATACCTTGTTCTATGCTAGCCAAGACTACATAGTGAGACTATGTCTCATTAATACAAAATTTTAAAAAGAGATAGTACAAGCTAGGCATGTGGTAGAGTGATTAAGAAGCATGTAGTACTAAGCCAGTTGGAGAGAGGGGAAAGAGGGAGGAGGGAGGGAGACAAGGAGGGAGAGAGGGAGAGAGAAAGGGAAGGAGGGAGAGAGGGAGGGAGAACTTTCAGTTTTTTTTTTGTTTTTTGTTTTTTGTTTTTTTTTTGAGACAGGGTCTCATGTAGCCAGGTTGGCCTAGAAACTTGCTGTGTAGCCAAGGCTAACTTTAAGCTCCTGGTCCATTTTCCTAGTTCTGATATTACAAGCATGAGCCAAGATTTTTAAAATTACAGGTGTTAGTGGAAATAAGAGAAGTCAGGACCCTCCTCCAGTGCCGGCAAGAATGGAAAATGGCGCTGTGGAAAACCGTCTGCTCGTCTGGCAGTTCCTCAGAGGGCTAAACAGAGTCAGCAGCACATGATGCAGTAATTCCATACCAGGCTATAGACCCAATAATAGGGAAAACACATGTCCACTTAAAACTTGCACAGGAGTTTTCCTAACAGTGTTTAAAATAACTTATAAAATCTATCAATTGATAAGCAAAATTATTGTATATCTCACAATAGAAGAGTCTCTGCCAAGAGCCAAGGAGATGGTTCAGCAGGTAAGGGTACTTTCTGTGTACACGTGATAACCCAAGTTTGATCCCCAGAAGAATAGGATAGAAGTGTCTCCCCAAAATTGTCCTCTGACTGCCATATGTGGTTTGTGGCATGCATGCATGAGCCTACACTCAAATGTACCACACACACACACACACACACACACACACACACACACACACACACCAATAATAACAACAACAACAACAACAATAATAATAATAATAAAGGGAATTAATTATCTGGCAATAAATACTAATAAATTGTGGATACATATAAAATTCAACCTGGTTTCACTTGTGGCTGACTCACAGTACTGAATACATTATACATTATAAACAGTGAGTTGTCCATTTCAAAAAAACACACTTTAAAGTATGTGAATTATATCTTGATAAGGCTGTTAATAAGAACACGTAAGAAAATGGAGAAAGAAGTGTGGAAGGGATAACATCAAATAGTAAGTGGTGCTCCCTTTTCTATGGGCAAGTTACAGGGGTCTCAGTTTTGTTTTTGAGACCGTCTCATGTACCTCAGGCTGGCCTTGAAAGACATAGCTAAGGATGACTTGAACGCCTGTTTCTCCTGTTGTCTCTTCCCAGGGCTGGGATTATAAGCACGTGCCACTGTGTGCAGTTCCAATGGTTTTCTTTGGTAATCTTAGCCTTTACTGCTAGAAGACATGCCTGCAAGTCCATCTACCAGCTGACCTGAGTACCCACCAGACCAGGGAAGGCCAGGGGCACAGGTTGGAGGATCTTCTCCTATGCAGTGAAACGTGTTTGCAAGCCCATCTTCAACTTCAAGACTGTTTGCTGGGCTAGGCTGTGACAGAAGAGATATGTCTTCTCTGAGGCCCTGGCCAATCAGCAGTTCCTGCCAGTTCTGACCACACAGCTGCATGGTGGCAGCCAGGGGTAAGGAGCTTGGAGTTGCACAGTACAGATGCTGCAGAAGGAAAGAAACTGCCTCTGGAATCTATCCAATAGATAGGGGCTGGCGGGGTAGCTCAGCTGATAGAGTGCTCTCCTAGCAAGCATGAAGCCCAGGGGTCAGTCCCCAGCATGGCTTAAAACTCAGCATGCTGGCATGTGTTTGTAATCCCAGCACTTGAGAGGTAGAGGCAGGAGGATCAAGAGTTCAAGGCTAGCCTGGACTACATGAGACTCTGTCTAAAATCATCATCATTCATTGGGGGAATGAATTGAAATCAGTCTGGAAAGCCAGGTCTGGTGGCACAGGCTTTATTCCTGGCTGCTTGGGAGCCCGAGGCATCAGGATCACAGATTCCAGGACGGACCTTGAAGTGTAGGATATTGCTGGGGATATAGCTCAGTGATAGACCACTTGCATGTGAGCACTCATAGGTTCAATCCCAATTACTGAAAAGATCCTCAAGATTCCAGGACTTCCAGCCACTCTGAGGCATTTCTGAGCAGATATCAAAACATAACCCCCGCTTTCCTTAGTCCTGAAGTTTGGAAATTCTGTTGTGGAGAAACAGTTCTCCAGAGCTGGGCATGCTGCTCAGTGGTGGTAGAGTATTTGACTAGCAGGCATGAGGCCCTAGGATTCATTCCCAGGACTGAGAAAAAAAGGATTGTGGAGGGAAATGTTTTGAGTTTTGAATCCCACCCTTCCCCCAACCCCATTCTCATATCACAATCCCCACTGAAGACCTCTGGGATCCCCAGAATTGGGGGGAATTGTATTCGCACACAAGTGACCAATTCTGCAGCATCTGTGTATCTTTTAAGTCAATTCAATTCTGAGCCAAGCTTCCTGGAGACAGTGTTGGATGGAGCCCACAGTTCTAGGACCATGTCCCCATGACCATTCTTCCTTCCTTAGGTGTTAGTTAACAAGTCCTAGGTTGTTTGATTGGCCCAGCTAGAAATTGGGGTTCCCACAATCCCTTCCTGGAGTACAATCAATTTACTTGCCTGGTTCACAGAACTCCGGGAAACACTTATATCCATCATTTTATTACCAGGGATACAGGTTAAGAGAGACACAGAGTGAGGAAGGAGGAGTAAATTCGTGGTCGTCTCCAGGTGCATAGCCCTAAAGGAATCTCTCTGAACTCTGTCCTTTTGAGTTTTTATAAACACTACCCTGGATGCTAAACTGGGTGTGGAAACCCAGCAAGGCCTGTCAGTCTAGATTCTTCTCGACTTCTCTGCACAGAATTCCTTCCTCCAGGGTATGGGGTATGAGGCAAGACCCCTCATGTCACTGTCTACTTTAGACAAGGTAGATCCAACAGTTTCTGAACAACCAGCAGCTCCAAGGTGGGGGTGGGGTGACTTGAGTTTCTATGACCTGACTTGGTGGAAAAAAAGAAATTCTAGTTTATATGATCTGCCTTGGAGATGGAGTTCTGAGCCAAGAACTGTTAATGAAAAGAAAGTACACCAGCCAGGCATGGTGGCTCACGTCTTTAATCCTAGCACTTGGGAGGCAGAGGCAGGTGGATCTCTGAGTTTGAGGCCAGCCTGGTCTACAGAGTGAGTTCCAGGACAGCCAGGGCTACACAGAGAAACCATGTCTCAAAACAAACGAACAAACAAAAAAATTATAGAATCATACAGATAGAGGGATCCTAAACTCCGAAGGCTCCTTCCCCACAGGAACACCTGCAGGACATCAGGTTGGGACGGCACACTTAGCATATTCCTGTGCTTCCCTGCAGAGCACTCAGAGAGCATCTAGAACACTCTCTTATTTATTTTATTAATATTTATTTATTTACTTATTTTTGAGACAGGGTTGCACTGTGTAGCCCTGATTGACCTGGAACTTGCTCTGTAAGCGGTCTGACTTTAAACTCAGGAGACCATCCTGCTTTTGTCTCTGGGATTAAAGGTGTGTGCCACCATGCACAGCTGCAACTTATATTCAAAACAGCAAATTATTCTCCCAAGTCAATGACATAACTAAAAAAATAAAAAATAAAAAAAAAGGATTAGTTGAGAAGAACTCAACACACACAATAGTCAAATGCTACCTTAGGACATATTCTGATTTGAAAAAATTAACAATTGCAAGAAGCTATCTTTGAGATAACAGGAAATTTCAATACGACTTCGTCTTAGGTGATGCTGAATGCTGTCAGTACCATCCACTACGTTCCTGTCCATGCAGTTCCACACAACCTGTCTCCTCCAATGAGGCTAAAAACTGGACCTGTCTCATCGGAGGGACCAGATACTTAATATTTCTGTACCCATTTATTATTTTAAATCTCCAAAACAAGAAAATAGTATGCCTAACGTATGGGCTTAGTTTGAAGACTGGGGGTGTTCCTATTTTTAAAGCACTTAAACTAACTCCAGGCATGTAGTAGGCTTACAGTATTCAATAATCTTCCAAAATCTGGGTCGTCTATGAACCTAAGAGAAATTCTGTGCCTAAGAAAAACCCAAGCGCAGCAGCCCTACCAGATTTTGATGACCCTCTGACTCTAACAAAGATAGCAAGCATACATAGAGTCGGCGCAGGTGTGACAGTCTTGTAGAAGACTGCAAGAAAGAGTGTCTGGAAGCCTAGCTTTTGAAGCCAGACTGGGTTCATCTCCGTGTCAAGCCAGTCACTAAACCACTCTGAGCCAGATTCCTTGGTAAAACGCGACTTTAACAAGCCACCTCACCCACGGGGCTTTCACCCAGCCTCCTATTCCCAGGAACTCTAGAGCTGGCCTATACTCAATCATAGCTTCCGGTCAACCGAGTCCTCCCAACCGTTCAAGCCACAATTTCCTCGTCTTTAAAAAAGATGATTTTACTTACTTACTTACTTACTTACTTATTCATTCATTCATTCATTCATTCATTCATTCATTTATTTATTTATTTTTAGCTAAGAGCATGGCAGCACACTCCTGTAATCCCAATATTTAGGAACGTGAGACAAGAGGACAGTTTGAGGCCAGGCCAGCCTGGACTATACAGAATAATCAAGCCTCAAAACCCAAAAAACCTTAACCCCTCCTGAAGCGTGGGAGACTTGAATTTGTTTTGCTTAAGTGAGACTCAACTTTCTTGCTTCCTGTTTAAGAGGGAAGAGAAAGTAGGGTCGGCATTTTGGGGAGCACAAGTACTGAGGGCCAAGAGGGCCCCCTGCTGCGTCCAAGGCTGAGCAGCCAGAAGCAAGCCAGCTGACCCAAATTCTAGATCTAGTCCCAAACTATTTTTTTTTTCATTAGCATTCTGTAACAAAGCTCTTGATGAGCTTTTTAAAAACATGTCTTTTGAAGAGCACGTTTAAATTGATAAGTGATGCTCCAGTAGATGGGGAGGGGAAGGAGGGCTGAAGCCCCTGAGGACGGACCAAAGCAATGTGCTCTCCATGATGAAAACACAACACACCCCTCGCCGCTCTCCCCGCCAACCCTGCCAGACCCATGAGCCCCGCCGCTTGCACCTCCAGCTCAGCCCCAATCCCCCTTGGAGTGGAACACCCAAAGCTGGGTGTTCTTCCACGAACTGGCCCTGGCGCCCCGAGCAGGACCGCTCTCTCCCTAGGCTCAACAAAGGCTGCTAGGACTGGTCCCCTCCGATTTCCACCCCACAGACAGTCCTTCTTCCCTGGGAATTCGCGGGGACTGACTCAGGTCTTACGATCCCACAGCGAGGACGGGACATCCGGTGACATCAGCCCGGGACTCTAGAAGGCTCTGATGGGAGCCAGGGGTACTAACTTATTGGAAACACCTGGAGCCTCCCAAGCAAGTGTGAGTCTGGAAACTAGATAGGAGGACCAGCGGGAGATGGAAACAGAAGAGCAGTAAGTAGATTTTGGGGTGCAGGGGTCCTAGGGTTACCACGGAGACTCAGGTCCCCCGCCCTGGAGCAGCCGCCCCCGACCCAGCCGGCGCCCCGCTCTACCTGTGCTGCTGGTTGCGCTGCTCCGCGCTGCCCGCCCGCGGGGCATACAATGAGCCGCTCAGTGGTTCTTCGCCCTGGGCCGCCAGGGCGGGAGCACAGCAAGGAAGCAGCCAGTTGGCCCCGAGCTCCGCAATCCACTCCAGACAGGACCGTGGGGCCACGCCTGAGGTCGGGGGTGGGGTGGCCAGGCCAGGAAGAGGGAGGACACAGGTGGGCTCCAGGGACTACACTGACCGCCCCCCACCCACCCACTCCCTGCCTCCCCGGGTGTGTGGATGATCAAGCCTGCTGGCAGAGCCACCGCTGGGCCCACTAATGGACCGAAAAATCTGTCCCCTGAGGGGAGAAGCTTCTGGGAGGACAAAAGGCCCTTGTGCAGGAAATTGAATCTTTATCTTGCCCCCTCCTCTGCGGGTGGCATCTTTGCAACTATCCAAACAGACACCTTGATGCCAGGGGGACCGGCTGCCTTCTGGGCAACAGAGAAGTGGGGAGGGACCGAGAGGCCAGGTGGCTTTTGGAGCAGGAGCTGCAGCTGCCATCCCCTCCGGGTACAAGCCTCTACCCAGAAGTGCAGGCTTGATAAAAGGTCCAGATAGACACTGGACACGCTTCAACAAATAAAGCAGATTTCGCCTCTTACAAATAACAGGGCAGAGCCCAAGCACATGCAGAAGCTGGGGCTTTGTGGGAGACCTGTGACTCTGTGGTGGGGTCCAAGTCCCTGCTGGGGACAGTGTATCAGCGCAGCCTTTCCGGGGTGCGGTTTGACAAGATGAAATTAGGATCCTTAACCATGGCCACAAGTCTTCTGAACTAGCAATTCCTTTCTAGATACATCTTAAGGAAATAAACCAACAACGAAGATTTATACATAACTTTCAAAGAAGCGGTATTTACCACAAGAAAAAAAAGTTGCAAGGAGTACAAAAAAAGATCAAAAAACCCTCAAACAAACAACCCCCCCAAACAAAACAAAACAAACAAACCAAAAATTCAAAACTGTGTTCTAAGAGAATGTCAGCTATTAACTTCCGGGTAAAGAATTTAGATCGCTGTTATTTTTGAAAAACATTTTTTTTTAATTAAAAAAAAATAAATTGAGGGGCTCGAGAGATGGCTCAGTGGTTAAGAGCACTGACTGCTCTTCCAGAGGACCCAGGTTCAATTCCCAGTAACCCCATGGCAGCTTACAACTGTCCAAGATCTGACACCCCCACATAGACACACACGTAGGCAAAACACCAATGTACATTAAATAAGAATAAATAAGTTATTAAAAAAATTGAAGTCAGAGCTGGGTGGTGATAGAACATGCCTTTGATCCCTGTACTCAGGAAGCAGAGACAGGTGGTTCTCTTGAGTTCGAGGCCAGCCTGGTCTACGAGTGAGTTCTAGGACAGCCAGGGCTGCACAGAGAAACCCTGTCTGTCTGTTTGTTTGAAAACAAACAAACATACAAACAAAACAACAACAAAAATCCCAAAATTTCAACGTCAGGCTTGGTGGGTCATTCCTGTAATTCCAGCACTTGAGAAAGTGAGGCAGGAGGATTGCCTGAAGTGTGAGGCCACCATGGCTTACAAAGACCCTGTTTCAATAACAATAAATAAATTTAATTAAGGTTTGTGTAATTTACACATTTTCTCCAGTAGGACAGGATTTACCTGGTCAAAAATGTACAAAACTTATTTTCAAATGCGTGGATATGAAGAAGTGAAAGGAGAAAAAGAGACAGAGAGTGAACAAAAGTGAAGAGAGAGCTTTGTTAACCTAGGCCTCACCTTATTCAAACAGAAACCGAGCCAAGCATTCAAGCAAATCAGAGACCTTTTCCCTCTTCTCCCCACAATGAGTAACTGCTCAAGCTCTGGCTGCTCCGAGGTATAGCCCAATTGCGATCCTGTCTATTTTCCACGAGTTTTCCTCTGTGTGACTCAGGCTCAGAACTACCCAACCACCCTCTGCTCTGAAAATAACTTGATACTTACCCAACACAGCTGTAATTTTCCAGCCCGCATCCTTCATTTGCCATGTGGATGCCAATGAAAACCCTCCTTTACTTGGGGTTGGCCGACCGGACTTTTGCCAAAGACCTAACAAAAGCTCCCAGGTCTTTAGGCAGATCATTGCCAGAGCACAGCTGTTGAAGAGTCTCTCAGAATCATGTGCAGTCTCTGCCCTCCCTATCCTTCCCCCATCCAAGGCCCCCGCCTTTCAGAAGCCACAGGAAACCTCTTTTCCAGACATTTTAATTAGAAACTTATAAAACCTCATTGAGTTCTCTATACAAATTTTACACAGGATAGTTTAATATAATGCAAAGTAGTCTGCATCTTTGGTCATCTTTCTGAATCTTGTTATCTTTTTTCCCATACAGTATATTCTGATCACACTCTCACCCCCATCTCCTTATTTTATTTTAATGAGACAAGGTCTCAAGTATCCCAGGCTGGGTTCTAACTCAAGAATGGTCTTGAATTTCTGATCCTTCTGCCTCTACCTCCAGGGTGCTGGGATTACAGACTCCATGAAGTTTTTAAATGACGCTGGGGATGGAACCCAGGGCTCTGTGCATGCCAGGCAAGCACTCTTCCCTAACTGAGCTACATCCCTAACTTTCTCATAACCTTTTTGAAATTGAAATCAGAGGCCATTTTTCATTTAAATTGCCAGAAAAAAATCACAGGCATATAAATAGCTGTACATGTGAAATCAGAGAAACTAGTACTAGGGAATTTTTCTGCTTGAATACTTCAAAATAGCTTTGTTTTCAAAATTCTTATTTTGCTCAGTCTGACAGAAAGGTACTCTGGAAATCAGAACTGAGTCTCCAAGGTAAACTAAGACATATACTGAGGAGTGTGTTTGGGGTTAGACATGAGGCATGGGGTGGTAGGGGTAGGTATGTCCTTCCAGGGCTAATGACATGGTGACATCATAAACAGAGCCAAGGTAGAAGCTTGTTCTGGCCACGTTCTTCGTGGATACTTCTTTAGATTGGAGGGCTCCCTGGCTGGGCTGCTTGTCACTCTGGTAGATGCCCTGCTTAGCCTCCTCTTTACCTGCTCCTCGTGCTTCCCCAAAGCTTCCCTTCTGCCAAATACCCTGTTCCTTAGTCAGGGAACTGCAAGCAACTGAGTTTTTGGCTCAGCCTCCAAATAAACCCTGCGGTTGTCAGGCAATGGAAGCCAACACCGCCACCAACCCCTCGGTCACCCAGATCCTTTCAGAAAGGGGGAAGGCCATCAAGGGGAGGAGTGGCAAGTGGCCAGGCTGCTGAGTGAGGACCAGAGAGAAAGAACCTGTTGTTAGAAGCCTGATGTCCTTCCCTGCTATTGGGGGTGGGGGGCCAGACCAAATAAAACAGTACTTCTGACTTCAGCCGCCATCCCGGGGGCACAGACAGAGGGCAAGAAACAGGGCACAGAGCCAGCCACAGTAGGGCAGGAACAGAGGGCTGTTCAGCTGAGCTGATGACAGACTCCCATCTATTAGCCTGAGGGCAGGTGTCTGCTCCTCCTGCCCTTAAGTTACCCACCCGCATGCACATGTTTCTGGGACTCATGTATTTAGGCCCTGCCCTGCCCCCTTCAGTTCTCCAGTTAAAGGCTTCAGTTCTGAAATCAAAGTTCTGAATGGACAATGTGTAGACACGTAGGAGTAGAAAGTACTAGGGACTTGCGTATTTCTCGTGAGGGCCCTGAAGAAGCTAAAAAGTAGCTTATAACAGGAGGAGGAACGCACAGGCAGCCCAGTTCAAAAGGGGTAAAGTCTTCATTGACCAGAGGTGGGACTCTCTCAAAGATGTATGAGCTGACTGCAATTTTCTCCTGAAATTCAAGGCCAAACCAAAACCAAAAACAAAACAAAACAAAAATCATAGCCTCTAGTAACCCTGGGACCTTTCCACAAACTCGTCCTTGTGATTTCCTTGGTGCTTTGAAGGCACAGGGTTTGTGCAGTTGAAAGAACCATTCTTTGTCTCTGAGGGGGAAACACTCGAGCCTGAAAGTGTCCAGCAGGCTCTTTGCAGAAATGTTGTAAAGTCACAGTTCTCAGAAGCTGGGGATGAGGTAGCCATGGTCCCTCAGAGTCTCCTGATGTGGTCTTCTCAGGATAAGTGCTCTTTACCCAGCTCTCCCTGGGGCACGGCTACAGGAATGGAGGTCACTACTTGGTTCTGAAACACGAAGATTTTGATTCTTTCAAACACCCAGATGAAGATGAGTAGGATGCTGACATACTGAACCCAGGCAAACTTTATCATCTCCCAGAAGCCTGGCTGATAAGTATAAAATGTTAAGGAGGTCACAGCTACATGTAAGAAACGGTTACCCAAAGTTCAGGTCAGACGGGAAATAGAAAGAATATTTCAAATACTCTTCAGATAAAATGGATAACCAGAGATTATTAAGATATAAATATGGATAATTCTGACCCAGAAGAATTGCTTAGAAAGAAACAGGAAATGGATTTTTCTTTTCTGTGGGAATAGCAGTCATTTGTGTGGGGGCTACAGAGCTGCAGCAATTTCCTATCTTGTGAGTCCCACATCTGTTCCTACTTGGGATAGCTAAGGAGCCCTTCCTTTCTTAGTGGGAATGAGCCACCGCTGACTGGCTAACAGAAAGGATATGAAATGACTTCCACAGGATATCGGATGACAGCATTGATCACAAAAGGAGCTTCGGCGGCCCTGCCCACCAGCCAGATTGGGTTGGGGTCACTCAGGACGGTAGTAACTGCAACACAAACATTTAATCATTAATCCAAAATATAAGTAAAGTCTTTGAATGCAGGGGGCTATTCTGCATTTCAAAGTGGAAAGAGCAATTGAATGTGAAAAGTTGCTTACACATTATTAAAAATACTTGCCAAACTACTTCTGCTATGATATGTCAAAAACTTGCAAAGGATCAATGTGGTCTACCAATGCTGAAGAGCTAACTGAAGAAATACTATGTTTCTAGAAAAAGTAGCAATTAAAATGGTGTAGCAGAGTAGGGGAAATATTTTTATTATATAATTAAATAAATAAGAACTTGGATCCCAGAGTGTTTGTTTCTAAGTATTATTTATTTGTGTGTGTGTGCTCTTGTGTGTGCGGGTGTCTGTGGAGGACAGATGTGTTGTGGCCCCTGGAGGTGGTATTACAGGCAACTGAGAGCTGCCTACCATGGCTTCTGGGAACCCCAGTAATCTGGAAAACTAGCAGCACTCTTTTTCCTTTAAAAAAATTATCATTTATACAGAGTTCTGCTTGTATGTATGCCTATAGGTCAGAAGAGGGCACCTGATCTCTTTATAGATGGTTGTGAGCCACCATGTGGTTGCTGGGAATTGAACTCAGGACCTCTGGAAGAGTGGTCAGTGCCCTTAACCTCTGAGCCATCTCTCCAGCCCCTATTTTTCTTTTCTGAGACACAGTTTCTCTGTGCAGCCGTGGCTGGCCTGGAACTCAGAGATCTGCCTGCCTTTGCCTCCCAAGTGCTGGGATTAAAGGCGTGTGCCACCGCCGCCACCACCACCCTGCCAGCAGCCAGCACTCTTAACTGCTGATCCATGTCACCAGCCATGTCCCCTTTAAATACATTCACTTATTTAATGTGTGTGTGTAGCTGTACCAGCTCTCTCCCTCCACCACGTGAGTCCTAGGTATAGAACTTAGATCACCAAGCTTATTGAAAAAGCTTTTACCCACTGAGCCATCTCACTGGCTCCTTTTTTTGACAGCATCTCGTGTAACTCAAGCCGGCCTCCGACTCGCTATGTTACCGTGACTTTCTGATGCTTCTGTCTCTCCCTCCGGAGGGCTGGGGCTACAAATGTGTAAGTGTATGCTACCATGCTTTATGGCTTTATGTGGTACTGGCGACTGAACCTAGGTATTGTGCATACTAGGCAAGAGCTCTCCCAGTTGAACTATATTCTCAGCCCCAAAGAATGAAAGTTGTATAAACTATTTATATATGGACAAAGAGTTAATGAAATAAAGAGAAAAAGAGTTGATTTTCAGGCCAATGGTTGTCAGATTTATTAAGACATACTAGAATTGTAAGCCTTCCACTTGTGAAATGTCAGTGGGTATCACCTATAGTGTCTTGCTGCCAAGAAACAATTTTGATGCCTTTAGGAAAAATGTTAGACCATCAACCAGCCTGGTGCGCTAAGTCAAGCATGGGGATGCTCCTCTAGGATAAACACTATCTGTAGTCAGGCTAGAAATGTAGACTGTCTGACACACATCATCCACAGTTGTCTGGAAACTGAGGACAGTAAATTGTCACTGGATTTTTTTAATAGGTGTACTATGAGGGATAACTCAATTAGGCTTAAATACACATTAGTAAGAGGAAACCAGCCAAGTGATGGGATAAACAAGGCGAGTGATCACTAACCCGCTGGGCTATAGGTGGTAAGTGGGGAAGGATGTGGCTTTGAGGACAGGACACAGGACAATCTGGCAAGCCCATCTACCGCCCATCAATGAGCCTCCACTGGGTTTGTGATTTCCATCTTGGAAAGCATTCCAGCTGTTTGTTTTCATGGAGCCCACAACCTGGGAAGTCTGTGAGCAGTGGCCCAGTGGCCTCTCCTGGTAACTCACCATTCCTTTCCTGATAGGCAGCAACAATGTGTGTGAGGTCGTAGTCATGGGCAAAAGGACTAGTCCCATTGATCACAGATACCTGGGGCAAGGTAGGAGGACAAGCTATGAGCACTCCCCTCCCCACTTTTTTCCACCCTGCTGCTCACCCAGGCTCAATCCTGGAGATTACCCGAAGCCCAGAAACCGAACTCTTATTCTTGTGACCTATTACTATTTCAGTCATCATTTTTTTAGAGTTTTATTTTTATTATTTATAGGTGTGTGTGTGTGTGTGTGTGTGTGTGTGTGTGTGTGTGTGTGTGTGTGAAGGGTGGGAGTAAACATGCACATGTGAGTACAGGTGTCCATGGAGGCCAGAGGCATTGGATCCCCCTGGAGTTAAAGTTACAGGTGGTTGTAAGCAACCTGATGCGGGTGCTGGGAACCGAAAATCTCCCCAGTCCTGTTTCAGTGATCGGTTCTTCAGGGATGAACAAACTCTTTTATGGTGATAGAAATAAGGGCTAATGTCCACGTACGTACCACAGGTTTCATCACATACACACGCACACACACACACACACACACACACACACACACACACACACACACATGCGCACGCACACTCGCGCGTGCACACACACACACACACACACATGCGCACGCACACACATACACACACACACACACACACACACACACACACACACACACACACTCACTTCGTGGGTTCACAGAGCAGCAGAAGGGCCCATGTGTGTGCCTGAATGAGACAAAGGGAATGAGGAAAGAACAGAGGCTGGAGAGCTGGGAGATGGCTAAACTTCTTTCCCCCATGTGTCTAGTTGATTTTTATATAAAAACAACCGTTTTCCTCCCATTACTGTTCGAGGACAACAGAGTATGCTAACCGTGCAGCTTTAAGTATGTGCCCTCCACCCTGGTCCTGCTGGCATGTGCCATGGCCATAGGGCTGTTGTACGGACAGTGCTGAGGGCTGAGCCAGCAGGTGACTCAGGAAGCCACCATGGAGACTGAAAAACGTGACATATAAACCGCTTTTTTATTTCTGTTTGAGATGAGGTGTTGCTCATTTACGTCATGGAGACTGAAAAAACGTGACATATACGCCTTTTTTTTTTTTTTTTTTTTTTTTTAACTTCTGTTTGAGATGGGGTGTTGCTCAGTTACCAAGGCTAGTCTTTCTAATTCCTGGCCTCAAGTGATCCTCCCACCTCAGGGGACTACTAGGGCAGGCATGCCACCACACCCATCTGTAAACTGTCTCACTCTGGGCTGGCATATGTCACCTGTTCAATAAGTGGTAACTATTTCTTTGAAAATGTATTTACATAGGCATTTTACAAGATCATTTGAAAGATGTGACAGTCAATCTTGACAGTCAAATTGCTTGGCCTGAGCAACATTTGGGAGGTTTTAGTAGAGAACACCTCTGGGTGTAAGGCATTTCCAGAAATGATTAGGACAGGAGGGCTCAGGCCTGATCTGTGGTTTGACCCACTGATGAATTCAAATGTGAACAGACATTGGGTGGTTTGGGGGAGTGGAGCTGTTGAAGGTGGGGCCTGGTTGGAGGAAGCAAGGCACTGGGACCTTGTGTGTGTGTGTGTGTGTGTGTGGGGGGGGGTGACGACACACTGCATCTTGCTCTACTCTGCCCCCTGCTGGTCATGGTGTGAGAAGCTCTTTAGTCCCCTCTCTCCCACCAGAATGGACTAAAACCTCTGAAACTGTGAGCAAAACCAATTCCCCCCTCCTTTCGGTTGTCTCTTCAGATATTTGGCCACAGCAAACGATAAACTAACACAGAGCACACTGGGAAGATGTGCGCCTGAGAGCAACAAGTTACTTCTTCAGTCTCCCCTCTTTCAGGGTATAAACCAAGGTGTGTCTTTTAGACCTTTTTAAAAATTCTTCTTCTTCATGTGTATGTGTGTTTTACCTGCATGTATTTCTGTGCACTTTGTGTGTGCAGCATGTAAGGAGGCCGGGAGAGAGAGCTGGATCCACTGGAGAGGGGATTACGTGCCTGGAAGCTGCCATCTGGGTGCTGGAAATCAGTCTTGGGTCCTCCGGAAGAATAGCCAGTGTTCTTAACCACCGAGCCAGCTCTCCAACTCCCTTTCTGCATTTTGTAAGAATTCATGATGGGGCTGGAGAGAGAGTTCAGTGGTTAAGAGCACTGCTCTTCCAAAGGACCTGGGCTTGGATCCAGCACTGCACATCTGTGGTGCACATACGTATATTTAGGCAAAATACTCATATACATAAGAAGATCTAAATGCTGTTTCTAAGCGCAAATTTCTCTTCCTTCAAAGAATGTGATAAACACAGGCACAAAGGAGCTAGACCACAAGAAGCATCCTTACATTGTATCTGATATCCAGGCCACGGTAGCTCAGCGGCTGCTTCTGCTGCAGCCTCAGGTCGCCATTCACATATAACTGTGACCCGGGAACAGCAAAGGAGGACTGAAGAAACGCCATGCTCTGCATCACAAACGTTGACATCCTCTGAAATCATTAAAAAGAGAGCCGCCATTGGCCGGTCTGCAGAGCCTGGGGGTTTCACCAGCCACCTGTCTGCAGCTGAAGCTGACAGCCTGGCCACCTGGGCTAGCCCACACAGGACCCTTCCTGCCCAGAACCCTCTGACCTATTAATAGTTACTCAAATAATTTAATATTACCCCCAATGAAAAATACTCAATTTGTCTACGTTAAATCCCCAACAATATTCCATAAGTGCCGTCTGTGGTGTGGTTCTCCCTAGAAAGGAGGAAAAGGAGAGGACTGACTCACATGAAGTTGGTAGGAGAAGGTCAGAATGAGCTGCACACCGAGAACATTCTCTGTGGCTTGAAGGGGAAGTTCAAGTTTAAAATGGAGCACATCCATTTTCCCATCCTGGTTCCGGTCTTCTTCTCTGGTCTACGAAGGCCAAAGAAAGAGATTTATTTATCTATCTATCTATCTATCTATCTATCTATCTATCTATCTATCTATCTATCTACCTACCTACCTACCTACCTATCTATCTATCTATCTATCTATCTATCTATCTATCTATCTATCTATTTATTTTTAGAATTGTTATATCTGAGGCTGGAGAGATGGCTCAGAGGTTAAGAGCACTGGCTGCTCTTCTAGAAGTCTAGAAGTCCTCAGTTGAATTCCCAGCAACCACATGGTGGCTCACGGGCACCTATAATGAGATCTATAGTGAGATCTGGTGCCCTCTTCTGGCATGCAGGCAGAACACTGTATACATAATAAATAAATAAATAAATCTTAAAAAAATGGGCTGGGGAGATGGCTCAGTGGTTAAGAGCACTGGCTGCTCTTCCAGAGGTCCTGAGTTCAATTCCCAGCAACCATATGGTGGCTCACAACCACCTGCAATTAGATCTGGTGCCCTCTTCTGGCCTGCAAAGACACATGCAGGCAGAACACTGTATACATAATAAATAAAATAAATCTTTAAAAAAAAAAAAAGAATTGTTATATCTGGGTGGTGGTGGTACACACTTTTTAATCCCAGAACTCAGGAGGCAGAGACCAACAGATCTCTGAGTTCAAGGCCAGCTTGGTCTACAGAGTGAGTTCCAAGACAGCCAGGGCTACACAGAGAAACCCTGATTTGAAAAACAAACAATTGTTATTTATGTATATGTGTATCTGTGACTACACATATGCACATGTATGTGCCTGTGCAAGCCAGAAGACATTGTTGGATGCTCTAGAGCTTGAATTAAAGGTGATAGTGAGCTACCTGATGAAGGTGCTGCAACTTAACTTGGGTCCTCTGCAAGAACAGTATGTGCTCTTAATCACAGAGCCATGTCTCCAGCCCCTAGGGAGAGATTGCTTTTTCCTCTCCCTCTCTACCTCTCACTGCTTTTGTCTTTCTTTAGAGTGCTAAGTATTGGACCTGGGACCTCCTACATGTCAGGCAAGTGCATCACTACTATGTGGCAGTTCCATCCCTAAGTCAGCTTGTTTAAATGGGGGGAAAATCTAATTCTAATCATCATGCATTTACCAAGCAAACTAAAGAAATCCACCAAGCTCTATTTATACATTTCTTTAAAATTTATTTTTATTTTATGGTTATAAATGTTTGCCTGCACATATGTATGTGCACTAAATGCATGCCTAGAACCCACAGAGGTCAGAAGAGCACTTCAGGAAGATGTTACAGATGGCTGTGAGCCGTCATGTGGGTACTGGGAACTAAACGCAGGTCCACTCCAAGAGCAGCCAGTGCTCTTCACCACTGATTCTTTGCTCCAGCCTCTATTTTTTTTTGGTTTGTTTGTTTTTTGTTTTTTGTTTTTTCAAACAGGGTTTCTCTCTTTGGAGCCTGCCCTGGAACTCACTCTGTAGACCCAGCTGGCCTCGAACTCACAGAGATCCGCCTGCCTCTGCCTCCCAAGTGCTGGGATTAAAGGCATGCACCACCACTGCCCGGCTAATAATTTATTTAATTTTATGTGCATTGGTTTGAAGATGTCAGATCCCCTGGAACTGGACAGTTGTGAGCTGCCATGTGGGTGCTGGGAATTGAACCCGGGTCCTCTGGAAGACTTCTTAGTTGCTGAGCCATCTCTCCAGCCCTGCTCCAGCCCCTATTTATACATCCTTAAACTACAGGTACCTTTGCTTCAGATCCTTGAGGCTGGACTATCCATCTCATTGTTCATGTCAAAGCTCTAAACCTTGTTTATTTTTTAGCATCAATCAATAAAGTAAAAAAGGAAGCTGAGCAAGATCAATAAGATACCAAGACCACGAATATTTGACAAAAATCAGAGGAGGGCATAAGGAAAGTCACAGCCTACAAGTCCTATGTGGGCAATTAAAAATAAGTCACTAGCTGGTGCTGCCAGTCCCAGCTACATCACAGTGAGCTGCCAGTGGCCAGCAGAAGGGAGAGCACTGGCACACACCTGCACTTTGATGCTAAGCTCACTCATTTTGTTTCATACTAATACCACTCTGTGAAGAAGTGTTTTTGTTTCTCAAGTGAGCAAGGTTGGGGTCAGGATAGCTGCTTTCAGAGCCTTTCAGTGATTTCTTTCCTTCAAGGCAACAATGTCCTTTTCTTAGGCTTGTTATCATCTACTGTCCTTCCTCCACTGGCTTCTACTACTCTCCTTGTCCTAGCTCATCAGCTTCCGGGGGGAGGAGGGAACAGGGCTGCGGAGAAAGCCGCAGAGGCACTTATGTATTAGTCAATATGAATGGGATGGGAAAGCGGCCTCTGGGTCAGAAGTGGGTTAGCTTCTGCTGCTATAAGGAAGAGGGTTGTCTTAGTTCTGGTTTCTATTTCTGTGAAGAGACGCCATGACTATGGCAACTCCTATAAAAGAAAGCGTTTAGTTGGGGCTGGCTTACAGTTCAGAGGTTCAATTCATTATTGCTGCACTGGGAAGCACGGCAGCATGCAGGCAGACATGGTACTAGAGAAGGAGCTAAAAGTATTATATCCAGATGTGTAGGCAGCAGGAAGTAACTGTCACATTAGCGTGGCTTGAGCATCTGAGAACTCAAAGCCTGTGCCAGTGACCACTTCCTCCAACAAAGCCACATCTACTCCAACAAGGCCACACCTAATAGTGCCACATCCTATGGGCCGATGGAGGCCATTTTTATTTAAACTACTACATTCCACTCTCTGGCGTCCCCTAGGTTTGTAACTATATCATAATGCAAAATGCATTTAGTCCAACTTCAAAAGTACCCACAATCTATAAGTCTCAAACTTGCTTAAAAGCCCAATGTTCAAAGTCTCTTCTGAGATTCATGGTAATCTTTTAACTGTACTCCCCTATAAAATAAAAATGAAAAACAGATCACATATTTCCAATATATAATGGCACAGGATATACATCCATTCCAAAATGTAGGGAAGGGAGCACAGTGAAGAAACACTAGACTAAAGCAAGACCAAAAAACCAGCGGGGCAAACTCCAAACTCTACATCTCCATGTCTGATGTCAAAGCTCTCTTCAGATCTCCAACTCCTTTCAGCTTTGTTGACTGCACACACTTCTCTCTCTTGGGCTGGTTCCATTCCCTGTTAGTAGCTCTCCTTGACAAAGTATCTCACGACTCTGGCATCTCCAGTATCTTGGGGGTGGCTTCACCTTCACAGCTTCATGAAATGACCTCTCTAGACCTCCAAGCAGGGACACCCCTGAAACATGCGTGGCCTTAGAAGTTTTCCTTAGTTGTAGAAGGAGATTCCATAACCCCTTTCTTTTATCCTTGACTCTAAAGCCAGAACCACATGGCCGAAGCTGCCAGGTTCTGCAGCTTGCTGGGGCTGGAACATGGTCCCCTCATTCAATTACATCTTCACCAGCTTTCTGTTTCTGATGGTTATCTTCACTACCTAAGCTTGGCTGTCCTGGAACTAGCTCTGTTCAAAACCAGCCTGGCTTTGAACTTAGGCATCTGCTTCACTCTGCCTCTGGAGTTCTGGGATTAAAGGTGTGCACCACTATACCTGGCTCTAAGCTTTTCTTTAATTTCTTTTCCAAGTTGGAAACTTAGCTGGATGGGGTCTTGCTCTGAGGTCACCTCTTGCTTTATTCCACTTAGCAGCAGGCTTTTCTTTAATCTACTCACACTTCCTGATGCCCCTTTTCTCCTTGAACTGTACATTTTGTATTTTTATTTGCTCAGCTTGCTCTTTTTCATTATAAAATCTGTATAAGAGTGAACACTAGTAACCACACAACAGTCTATAATAGGCTGTTTTGAGATTTCCTCTGTCAAAGCTGTTAATCCAAACTCTTCAATTTAATCTCAGGCAGATTTTTTTTTTTTGACAAGGTCAGAAAACAGCCACATTTTTTGCCAAAATATCACAAGATCAATCTCTAGGCCACATACTAATAATCCTCTCTTCTGAAGCCTTTTGAAGCAGGCCCCCACTGTTCAAATCACCCTCAGCACCACTGTCTTCTCTGTTCCTACTAATATAGCTCATTAAGCCATGCTTAAAGCTTTCTAATGCTTTCTTAACCCGAAGTCTCAAAGTCCACATTCCTCCAAAAAAAAGCAAGGTCAGGTGTATTACAATGATATCCCAGTCCCTTATACCAACTTCTGTCTTAGTTAGGGTTTTATTGTTGTGAAGAGACACCATGACCATGGCAACTCTCAGAAAGGAAAACATTTAATTTGGGCTGGTTTACAGTTCAGAGGTTTAGTCCATTATTGTTATGGTGGGAAGCATGGTGACATATAGGCAGACATGGTGCTAGAGAAGTAGCTGAGAGTTCTACATCTGAATCAGCAGGTAGCAGAAAGAGAAAGAGACACTAGGCTTCACTTGAGTTTCTGAAACCTCAAAGCCTGCCACTAGTGACCACTTCCTCCAACAAGACCACACCTTCTAATAGTGCCACTCCTTGTGAGCCTATGGGGGCCAGACTGTCTCCTGGACGCTAGGGCTGGACAGGAAAATAAAGACCACGCTTCTCAATTTACAAGGGCAGGGGGGCCAGGAGAGAACTGCCAGGAGGGTGCAGATTCCAGCAGGTTGTGGGAAGGAGAGGAACTCACTTCATTTGATCTGTACAGTACGTGTGAAGCCTCAGACAGAGAACAAGTGCTATCCACATTGTACAGACGAGAAACTCAGCATATGGGGAGCCTGAGGCAGAAGGATCACTACAAATTTGAGGCCACCCTGAGCTACATGGAGTGCAAGGCCTGCCTAGACTACAGAGTGAGACCCTGCGTCAAAAGTAGATAGATAGATAGATAGATAAATGGATGAATGAATGAATGAATAAAAGATCTGGGCATGGTGGTGCACACCTGTGATCCTAGCACTTGGAAGGCAGAGACAATGGATCAGGAGTTTAAGGTCTTCCTCAACTACACAGCAAGGTTTGAGGCCAGCCTAGGTTATACAG